CATTGGTTGTCTTTGACTTAAATTGGAAATCATCATCGTGCCTACATAATAACCTAAATAACCGTGATAATAATCCGGATTTCAGCGGTAAAAGCGGCGGATAACGGAATAATTCGGGGAAAGCGGCGGATGCACGGTAAAAGCGGCGGATAAATACTCGATTATATAATAAAGAAATCATTTTTATTCAGGTAAATGTGGCAATCACGTGATGATGATGTAACTCGACCGTGACTGCTCAGTTACAGTCTCAAAGTTTGTACTTTTTTTATATGTAGTATTGTAAGACATGATACTTGTTAAATAATTAATAAAGCAACACGAACTACTGCGTCATTTATTATTATTCAAAATATTAATGCTCAATCTGCATGCGGTGTTGTAATTTATCAATCCGAGTGCACTTGACATAATTCTATAAAAAAACACTAAAGCTCTACTCTGTTTCTACGCCGTTTACAAGCATGCTCATTTGTATAATGTTCCATGAAAGTGTAATGATCAGAGAAAGTTGTGTCACATTCAGGGCAATCAATTTGCAATTCTTCATTCTCTGATGATGATTCAGAAGATTCCTGTGATCAAAAAACATGAATGGTGAAATATTGCTACATAGAAGTAATGGTGATGATGCACCTACCTGTGAAATTGCTTCCTCAATCATCAGCATCTTCAATGTGAACCTTGGCAAAACATCACCACCCTCTACATCTTCCCATACGCGCTCACGATGATAGACATTGCCATGTTTATTCCGCTTGTATACCCAGATTCTTCTATTTTTGGGATCAATCAACCAACCGAGTTGTACAGATGTTCCAACTGCAAAGTATTCGCGCTTAAATTTATCATCTAACTCCCTGAACGCTGATGTACTACTTTGGGAATCTCCAACCTCGACAACGAATGTGGGAGTGAATGGTTGACCCTGGAAAGTCCAACGTTGTAATTCAGTCAATTGGCGAGATATTGCTTTGGGTGTGAAGGAGACATCAGGAGCTCTAATCGTTCTTTGGCCTCCAACACTGAAATCAAACCCTCCTTGTGCTGTTTTTACATCCCCGTTTTGTCGAGTTTGAATGTTCCAATTACCAAGCTGTCTGACAATCTCTCCAACAGTAACCTCCATGCAGTGAGTGGCCTGTGGCATTGGAACAAGCTTTCCATTTTTGTCGAGGTCAAATAAATTGACTGGTTGCCCGTTGACTTCTAAGGAGCGTGTTTTGAGCTGTTCATTAATTAACTCGAACTCTTCAAATGAGTAGGTACAGCTGAAATCCAAGTTAGCAAGATCTATTTGTGCTTTGGACATTTTTGGTGAAAATTTTTTTGATTTTATAGGATCTTTATTGACAACAAGGTGAAAATTTTTTTAGGGATTGGTCAGACGATTTACATTTACACAAACCCGGTAATTGGCTATAAATTTACCTTGAACTATTCCAAGGCCTTCCAGGATCGAGATAATACTCCAGATTCCGAGATAGCTGAGATATGCAAGAAAGGTGCTCAGCAAAGAAACACAAGCAATAGGAAAGAACTAAGAGGTATCAGAAGAAGAGCTTATTTGTGCAATCTGAGAAATGGGTTCAACCAGACAGATATTGCATACCACAACTCCAACAGTAACAATCACAGGGGTCGCGAAAAGGATTATTGGTAGACCAGCCAAGCTGGCTACTATATACATGAAAGAAGACATCAAGTAATTAGTGGTGACATTTTTGGGCATTATATATAAATACAAATCAATCTGATGTAAGATTGATGACGCATCAGTTGCACTATTACTAAAGAAGCGGACAAAGCGCTATTTATCCATAAATTGATACTCCCTTCCTGCTTTCATGTGCCCATTTATCACACCGTATTGTGTCAGTTGGACATGTACTCTGGCACTTTGACTATGTGTATGACAATATTTGGATAACTGGTTTAGATGTTTAACTTTCAAGTCTGTTAACTGCGAATTTTTCCTAGGAAATTTAGTCACATGCTTTTTATATGCCTATACAATACCCATCAAAAATACAAATTTAAATAAATAAATCTGCAAATATATAAAACGCGATGTCAAGCATGTCTTTCGAACTAGATTTACTCAGACAAGAGAATGCTAAGCTTGTAGCTGAGAATACTGAGCTTAAGCACAAAAACTCAAAACTGAAACAGATTATAGAAGAAAATGCTGACTTTAAGGCCAAAATCATGAAATTGGAACAAACTGTTGATAAAATTGAGAAGCAGAATCAAACTATATCACAGGTTTCAACCAGTTCACCATCACCAGTAACATCTCAGTTATCTACTCTATCACCTATCGAGGATCACTCTGGTAAGGAGGAAGATATTACTCCTAATTGCTTACCCGAACTAGAACAAATCTTGACAAGATCTGAATACAAAACATCTGTAACCTCTTTGCCATGAGACATTATCGATGACGATTCAGCTGAGACCCTAGATTTTGTAGAAACGGTTTATAAGGAACAGGTCAGTAAAGAGATAATGGAGAGAATTAGGGAGAAGAAACTTTGGGAGCAAATAATAATAATTCATCATGTGATATAAAAACTGTTTCCCTGGGAAACGATCAGCAAAAAACAACCACAAATACTGCTTTACCAGTAGAGAATCTTGACGATTCTGATGAAATTGAGCTTACCAAAAATCAAAATATAGAATCAGACTTAATATGAGATTTACAGAATGGTATGCTTATTGCTATACCTGATCCTATAGAAACACTTCCTGAAGACATTGTGAATAATGAAAAATCATCATTTAAAATCACAACACAAAGCTTAATCAATTTGTTTAGAAAAGCTATATGATCTGGGCATGAAGAAATTTTATCCTGGATTCACTATTCAGATAATTTTGAGAATAAAGTTATCGAAATTCGACATAATAATAAGACAAGAGTTAGCAATAAAACTGCAAGAACCCAAATATACAAAGAGATGTTAGAACATCTACCAGGTGTTACATCAGTTGCCTTGCGAATTAAGACTCTTAGGGCCAGAAAAATTCATAAGCCACTTTTTTTGTCAGGGTATTGGGTGTATCGGTTCCACTGATAATATGTATCTTAGCATTAGCTCCACTATTAGGTAAATCAGAAATTCGAACTGATTTAGATCTCAGTTTTCTTTTTTTAACCTGTTTGTTCAGAATATTAATTTGGTTAGAATTCTCAGTTATACTAGTTTCTTCAGTGGAGCTGGTATGGTCAATACTTGGCGAGCATGATTCAGGGGGTAATTCTTCTACAGTGCAGGACGCCTTTAGGTGTCTGATTCTTGCCTTAAGCCTTAAAATATCCTCCTCATACCCGGCTATCTGGTTATTTTTGGAATCAATAACGGTCTCGTTTGACTTTATTTCCTTGAGAATCGATCTCAATTGTTTTCGTAAATTTAATATTTGGCTTTTAAGGGTTTGAATTTCGTCTTCCTGATCAAGGATAGTGGTACTACGGCGTATTAGCTCTCCCTCACATTTCTCTAAATCCCGTATAAGCTGACGGATTTTTTTCTCATTACTACGATTTATATCTACCTCGCGAGTTAATTCCTCCCGTAATTCGATATTCGATTGTGCAAGATGCACGAATGCCGGATCTATTGCAAAGCAGGCCGTTAGGCGATTCTTCGAATCATGGGACTTTGTCCCTAACGAATTATTTCTTTCCATTTTATATTCCGACTGCCTTTTCGATCTATTGCCCTCAAAGTCAGATATATTATATTTGTAATTGTAAAATAAATGAACTTTGTTATCGATTGAAATTGGGATGTGGTCGTCGACGAAATGCAAAGGTTAATTTTTATGGCATATTATATCTTTCATAGAAAGAAGACTTTGTCTCTTGACCTATCACCGGACTTTGCCAAAACTAAATAATACTTGTCTCAAATTGTGAGGTACGAATTTCAACAGATCCTCCTGAAATATTAGCTTCTTTCGCTCATAGTTTATTGTTATAGCAAAACATACCGAAAATGGTTAGGCTCTTAGACAATGCTTCGCATAAATTGAGCACGCCTATTATTAGAATCGACCCAGATGAGGAATTAAACTTAATCTGTAAATTGCTTTTTTACCGTCTTACTGGCTATCATTCCAATGTAAAAGCTTTAAGAGACGCATGTAAAAAAGAAGGATATAATTTCCCGTATAAAAAAGTTCGTGAATGGTTGCATAATCAGAATGAATGGCAAAAGTATGCTCCGTCACCGAAAAATACTCCACG